CTACCGAGCCTGAGAGAAGTCAAACACCTCTCTCCTTTCACCACAAAGCTGCATCAGCACAGCCTGCAGTCTGCCGCTGCCGAACAGGAGTAAAACACTGTTGTGCCTCCATAGGAGCACTTTGTTATCTCCTAACGTGGCCAGAGAGTCCATAGTGCCCTCTCCTGGCAAAAAGCGCATGACAAATGTTACCGGCAAAATCATGGAAAAAATCATCCCTTTCCCACGCACACAAGGAGGGCTGCATGGAACACTAGATGCCTACAGGCAGTCTCAATGAGATATCTGTATAATTACTAGTGACCCACACTCAAAATTGGCCACAACTGGAAGCTAGCTGTCTTCTACAACCAGGATTGATCTCACCAAGCTGTCTGACAGCACACTGATGACAGGGTGATTATATGGAAAGGACAAGCCAACATAATGAAAGGAAGTCATGAAAGGTACTTGCACCCTGATTACAGGCTAGATTAGACAGCTCTCTGCTATATTAGTGTCTTATTAATTTGTTTCACTCCTTTTTCCGTGTACACCTTTTCAAGTGTTAATTTAACCAATATGACCTAATCAGTGTATTGGTTTATAAAACGCTCGAGAAAAAAAAAAGGAAAAAAATTACATTACTCACCTCTAACTAATACCTATATATGAAATTTTTCGTCAGTTTGTGGGAAATAAAAGTCACCCTGAATGGCCTGATATGGTAAGCTATAATACATTTATTTAAAAATACAGCTGTCCTCTCTGTGTACCGTGATCTTCTAGTCTTGTTAAAGAGCCTCTGTCACCAGGGCCTGGAAGACTTAATATACGACGTTTATTATGATTAGAAATCATTTGTACAGCACTGTAAATTCACACAGCACTTTCCCCAGACCATTTATAAGTCTAATGGCACTATAAATCCCCGTTAGCTTCCGCACTTTATTCCCCAGAATCTCTATTTATTCAAATGATCTTGTCCCCCCTGCTGCAATCTTGTCTTTGAATACATCAAGCCACACCCTGGGCTGCCCATCGCCCGAGTGACAGGCTGGGTGGATTGCTAAAACAGCCCTGGACTATGCACTTTAAAAAAAACCCCAAGGTTTTATTATTAGAACCAAATGTCCCTAACAACAGCATGAAAACAACACAGGTATTTGCCTTTCAAAGCGCACTGGCAACAACTGCTGCTGTTGTATTTCAGTTAAGAACAGCCCTAACAGGCACAAGCACTTCCCTCAGTCCCTGCGGCCTGCACTGAGCTGCCCAAGCACACATGCACCCTGCAGCAGCCCCCTCTGCCACCACACGTACTTGATACTGTCGGTGTGGGTTTTGTATTCCATGATGGTGTTGGGAGGTAGGTTGAGCACTCTTCGTAACGTGTCGCGTATCCGCGCCGTCGTGGCCTGGTCGCTGGCTGTCTTGTTCCATATCGAGATAATATCCTCCTGCAGAACAGCAAGGGAGGGGTGAGCACATGGGACTTTCTGCTGCCCTGCCAAATGGAAGCGTGTCCCAGTTCTCCAAAGTGCTTACCTGGAATCGGACAGAGACGACTGCCCCACAGATTTCCTCTCCCACCATAAACTGTTCGCCCAGCATGGCCAGAATGAGATTCTCCCAGCATCGTGACGCTAAGCCCTTCCGTAGACGGATAATCCATTTACCACCGTTTTTGTTGGCATCATCCTAGGAAGAGGGGCAAGAAATTGATTTGTTTTCTTCCAGCTACTTTTCTGCTACCCACAAGACCGCAGAGCCACAAACAGGAGCAGATATGGATTGGGTGGGGCAAGGGACAGAATGGAGGTATTTTCAAGCAAAAGCATTTCACTTCTCCCCCATACAAGCAGAGACAGAGGTAAAGCACTTACTTTGAATATGAAGTATTTGAAACATTCCAAAGTTCTATGCTCTGAAGACTTGAACTCTAGTGTTTTGATCCCACTAGCAAAGACTAACACCAGCCTACCAATCTGCACACAGACCCAAAGGCAAGGACCTTAAAACTGCTCCTAAACCTGAGACTGATTCCCCATTTGCCTAATCCTTTGCATGTGTAGTTCTGCTTCTTAACAGGAAAAATTCCTCATCATAGCACATGGAAGGCTAAGAAACAGCAGGAAATTTTAGGTTTGAAAAGTGATATTTAAAAGCAAGTGAAAAGTTGATATACACTTTCCTTCCACATTTCCTGGAATAGGCTCACAGGTTGTGTTAACACAGAAAGGACCAGTCTGTTCTCTGGGAACCACTGACACTATCACACATCATACAGCTGAATGTTTGTTCCAGACTCCAGTGACCCAGGGAAATTACCAAAAATGAGGGGAGAGAATAAAGAAAAAAATTTTATGCTAAGCACCCAGTCTGTCACCTCAATATTGTGACTCCCTATGCTGCACCTGATAGAGCTGAAAACTGCTACAGACTGCAGTTCTGTGCCCCAGAACACACTGATATGTCAAATTGCAGCTCCTCCTTTGTGCAGAACACTGTAGCATTCTCTTGTAAAACACTGTAGCTGGGAAATCTTACAAGGTGAGAGGGGAACAAATTCCATCCAAAGCCGAAGACAGGGAGGTAGGAACAAGTCAAAGAGGTTGGCAGTTAGGAAGGGAAAGGGAAGACAGGTCTAGGACAGAAACAGAGAAGAACAAAGGATGACTCAGAGGGGACTGCACAAAGCAGGACATCCCTCGCCAAATCACCAGCACTCCCCTCTGCCAAGCTGGGACACACCTTAGAGATGCTAGGCAAGGCAGCCCAACCCTTTGTAACAAAATGAAGCTCACTTTATTTTAGCCTTAAAGCTTCCCTAGGGCTCAAGTAAAACTAAACATTTGTGTGCTCCCCCAGAGACAAAAAGTGCTAACAAAGCAATCCTGAGGAGTTGTGGAAGTACCAACATAACAGCAGCATTCACCTGACTCCTAGTTTTCAGGTATGTGCCAAAGCCTGGACTGAAAGGGGAAGATGTCAGTAAACCTCAAAGTGTGACAGCAGCCATACAAACCCACACAAGTTCTGGGAATGTGGCATACTCCTGTGAGGTGCAAACTACTTCTGTTATGTGTCCTCGTTTTCCAGGTTGTGAACATCACACTATAGGCTTTAGCCTGGAAGCTGGGAGTTGAGTTTAACTCTTCAAACTTTCCACAATGACTAATGGGCATCAAAGAGACAGTGGTATTGCTCAAAATATCTCAAAGGTGATTTAAGCAGGTTCTAGGCTTCAAAGAGAGCAGTGACTGAGAGGCAAATGCTGTATCTTGTGCTTCATGGTTATTGTTAGTTTTCTTTTGGGTTAAACAAGCTTTGGTTCAGTCAAGCATTTGATTTTCCTTTACCAGAATAATAGTGGTCTGCAGCCCAGCAAATCATTTGCTAACATCATGCTTAGTGCTTCTGACTTTACCAGGAAAGGCACAGATGGATGCAGAAAAAGATCAGAGCTACGTATAGGCACATATGTGCCTGTAAGAATGACAGTAAGTAAGGACTGGTTTGGAAGAGAAAGAAGCATAAACAAAGCCCTACAAAACATACAGCAAAGGCAAGGCCAACAGTAAGATCCTCTTCTATATATACACAAGAAGGGAGTGGGGCCAGAAGTAAAAAAACCAAAGAATCTCTCCACCTCCATCTTAAAATGGCTACAGGGAAATGCTTTATAGAAATTCTGGTATCATTAACTTGGGACTCTCCGGTTGACACATTATCAGAGCAGCTAAGCTCACCAGGAGTCCAAAGAGGGTTAAACGTTTTATATAAATTGTATTTGCAGTAACTGGCTATAAAACACCTTGCTTAAAGTAATTGCCAGCTGGGGTCACATATAAATTTCTCAGGACCAAGCAGTATAATTAGGTACTTCAGAGCAACACATAAAATCCTCATATTGTGAATGCTATTGGTCATTGCTGGCAGCAGGCCAGGAACTGGAAGAATGATTTGCTGGGCAAAGATTTTTTTGGATAGAAATAAAAGCAAACTAAGTGTTCTGGACCAAAACAAAAAGCAAATAAAGGGCTAAGGTGTTTTTCCATTTCCAGCTCCATGTGCAGCTAGAGGCTTTTAACCATATGCACCTCTGTCTCCCTCATCTGAAAAAGGAGGGTTGTTTTTTATAAGCTGTGTTGAATTCCACTCACAGAGGTCCAGCTCTTCTAGAGGAAAGCCCTGCACTGCTGTCACTGGACACAGCTGTAAGGGGCAAGTGCCTATATTGGGAGACAGGAGCTTAGCTGGGGTCCCTCCTCCCCTGGGTTCAAGGCAATATTGCCCAGAGACCCTCTGGACCCACAGGCAAAGGCAACCTCTGTGGGGATGCAGCTAGCAACCCCCCACATCTTCCCTCTCTGTCAGCAGATCCCAGGACTGCTCAGTTACATAGGACAGAGTTCTGAGCACAAGCTTACAGGAAACCCAGAAGAAAGGACTGCACCCAAGAGAAGCCAATGCAGTGCCATTTGCTGACAAGAGTCCCTTCACTGCTGAAGCTTCCCTCCAGAATATTCCAGAAAAATATCAAGGCAGATACAAGAACTCCAACTCACCTCCCACATGGGTTTGATGCCCTCTTTGAAAAGATGGAAGTCACTATGGCCTGTCAGGTCCCCAGGACGTACCATGTGACTGTAAAACCGCCAGAATTGCTCCACCTGCAACAAGACAAACCACACAATGAGGCTGCTCAAACTGTTCACAGTCGAGATTCCTACAGAAGCAGCTTTCCATTTCTACACTAGCTGGCCAGAACTACCTTCCCCTCTTCTGTTCTACTCTCCTGTTATAAGGATGTTGATTAGGAAACACAGAAGGCAGCAGTAGGATTAGAGCTTGGGTGACTGTTTCTGACTTGTTCCATTACCACTTGAAATGTTCAACAGGTGCCTCTAAAGTCACTCAGCATTCGTCTGAAGAAATCTGTGCTAAGATAACTGCTGCTTTGGAGAACAGTTCCAAACGTATCTTGTAAATCCTGCTGCATAAACTTTCAAACAGTGGATATGTGTCAAATCCATCAGGTACAGCCAAGTCTCTCTACCCTACACACACCAGCCCTGCACAACCACTGCTCTGTGTGACCATGGAGAGTGCAGGAACACCCAGATGAGACTTCTTTGTATTTAATTTCACTGCATCCAGATTTTAAGACAAAAGTACATATTCTGGTGCTAGTTTAAGATCTGAAGGCACCATTCAGAGCTTTTATTTAAATATCTCTTACTTCATTTTACAGTCTGCCACAGTACTCTTGGACCACTTCACTTTGACACCCCTGTGTCCACTTGAGACAATCTGACTGTAAGGCAAAGGAGTAATCTTTCATAGTTCTTAAAAATAGCATATTTTTCTTTGAGAATCTCTGGGTGAGAAAAGGCAGTGGAAGACACTACACTAATTTCCATATTTTAAGAGGACTCCACACAGTAAGACAATAGCTATCAAGCAGATCTGCAGTGAGGCTGGGGGGGCAGACACCTACTCAAGTACTTTATCAGAGACCTCAGCGACTTGGTCAGCACTTGGAATTCTGCTCCAATCTCTCACCTCTGCCACCCAAGCTGGAATTTGCTTTTATAGGTAATAAAATTATGAACCAAGACTGAGGCAGGGTCAGCAGCAATCTATTTCTGTCAGACACATCCACAGGCTGTGTGAGAATCTCACTCTCACTCCGAGGGAACTTGCCCTCTAGTGGTTCCCATTCCACAGCTCTTAGAGCTTCCTACTGCAAAGCCCAGAACAAATCTGAATCCAGGCTAAGCTCAGACAATTCTTTCTGAAGTTTGCTCTTCCTTCCCCTGAAACAGAACTTGGAATCAAACACATTATCAGATCTACTGGCAAATCTCTCTCCATCCTAACAGAACTGCAGCATTTCCACTATACAGCAGCCACCACAAATTCTTTGCAGCAAAGGGCAGACTCGTGTGAAGTGACATTTCTCCTCTAAGAAGCTAAAAAATCAATGTTAAGTCTACAATGACTTCACAAAGTGAAAAGTTATTGCCAGATCATCAAGCAGTAGCCACATTTTTCATTCAATGAACTGAAAGGACTTGCTCACACAGGGTAACAGTAGCAGTAACCACCCACAATGACAGGCTCTTCTTCCCACTCTTATCCTGGGTGGATGCAATAACACATCCCAGATGCTTGGACAGGCACATTTATATGCAGCTTCCAGAAGGAATAAAGGGGTATTTTTACAAATTCTCACACTAAGAAGATATGCACTGGTAGCAAAATTAACATTTGCAAGGGACCCTGAAAAATCTGGACATACCAGATCTAAAAAAAAAAAAGAAAGTAAGAAAGAAAACAGTCAACAGACTTCCCAGCCTTGGGAATGGTAATGGAGACATAGTTTGTTTGTGTATCTTGGGCTCTTAATGACAGTTTTACACCGCCAGTACCATGCAATCATCTAACACTGCCTGTCCAGGACATGCTCAAATTTATTCTAGGAATAAACAACCACAGAGTGGAAGGGGAAAGGGCAGTTTGCCTTTTAATAAACTTCACTGCAACACCAAACTGCACCTTGTCCATCACTTCCAGTCAGACAACAGGCCACCAGGAGCTTGCAAACAGAGCACACCAGATGCTTGTTCCAAACACAGTCTCTGTGGTGGAAATATGGGTGTAGAGAAGTGTGTGGGACTGTAAAGTCTGCTACACACATACATCTAGAAAAGCTCTTCTCTTCCTCTATTGATGACCTGTCGTTCTGCTCCTGCTAGCATACTTGGGAGGTCTCTTTCCTTATTATTATTCCAGCTACCACCTCTACTGCAGGCAGAGAGGCCTAGCACAGGGCAGGGAACTGCTAACCACATCACCTGCTGTAGGGAATTCAAGAGCTCATCTGCAAGTCTTGGCACATCACTCACTCCCCTCTGTTCCTGACAAGAGGGGCACACACCCAGCACACAGGGACAGAGCCAGCCAGGATGCCCAGGAGACACAGCAGGGATGTACTCACGGAGGCGAAGGTGCCAATCTGTTTGATGTTCTGTTCGTAGCTCTGGGAGCTCGTGGGCCGCCCGGGCGTCCGTCTCGAGTACCAGAAGGTGTAGTTATACTGCAGGGGGTGCTCAGCTGGCCCAGGGACAACAGCCTGCAGAACAGAAATCCTGCTGACCCCATGGATGCTCCTCCAAAAGGGTAGTGGGAAAAATTACATCCACACGTCAGATGTTCACATATTCCTGTTATATAAACTGATCCACAATTTTACAAAAAAATACTGTCTCTGTTAATTGTTCAAAATAACCAGGCTAACAGCAGCTAATATTTCAGAGAATATCAGAAATTTGCAGTGCAGGGGTGGCTAAGCAAAGAATAACTTAAGCAAGGAGAGTGCCACAATAAAAGTAACTGTTGTAACTGTTAGAGGCAACACTGTTGAATTTTCTTTTACTCCTTAACTGTCTCAAAGGCAAAAAAAAAAAAAAAAGACAAATTAAAAAGGGCAATGTGAGAGCTTTAGCTTTTTCAAACTAAGAAAAGAAAAAGACACTCTTCTCCTCTGGGAAGAACAAACCCCACTCATACTAAGCCATGATTCAAAAGCAATTATAACTCTTTGGTGACACCATCTGCCTTAAGCAACCAACACCCCAGCGCTCCAGGAGGATTAGACCTGGAACTCGTTAGGTCAGCTTTGGCAGAACCAGCAGTGGGCAGAGATCACCTGCCAATCTCCAAAACACTGGTTTCTGATTAAAAAGACTTCTAATGAACATAAAAGAGGCTAATGAGAACTCATTACCCAAGAATCAAAAGTGACAGAGAAAAATCCAACCAAAGGTCTTATCTTGTATCCCTTGATATTGTTACAGGAGTTACCAGGGCGCAAATCTCTATTCTCCTCTTGTCTGTGGTAAGTTTATGAGGATCGCATTGCTTCAGACAGAGCAGCTTTCCTAAACACATGATTAAATAAAACCAAAACCAGGGCAAATATATGCACTATGCCTTCTTGACCAGGCTACACTACACAGAGACATGTCTTGAGTTATTTCAACAGTGGCACAAGCACTGCCTGGTAAACCAACTGCAAGCCACTGCCTCCCTGTCAATCAGCCCTTCCCCCACACCCTCTTCCAAAACTATTTTTGAGAAAAATAAAGTTTTATTTCTCATTTCTGTTCAAAAGCCAGGCAGAGCACTAGCTGTGTGTATGAAGGGAGCATTCACCCCTCAGATTACAAACCTCCCACATCAAATTATCAATCTAACATGGTCCCTCTGTCTTCATTACAGCAGTAACAGTGCATTAAGAGATCACAGCTCTCCCAGACATATCTTCCTTATCCCTGAGCTGCGGACTGACTCTCCAGCACTCCCACATCACACCCTGGCAGTGGATGGCAGATGCCAGCACCATACCTTCCTCTTGGTAGTACTTTGTGGTTTCTCTCGATCATTCTTTTCCTTCTCACTGTCTTTCTGTGTGTTATTCTCCTCGTTCTGGTCATGGTCTCCACTATCATCATCTTTCAATCTGATAAAGGAAAAGAACAAAGCCACTCTTGCATCACACAGCTGAGAAGGTTCCAAGCCCTGGTGGTCTCTGCTTCAGAGCTCCTCTGTGGTACAAGTGCCACCAGCATTTGGAAATCTACACCTGAAAACCCACACCATGAAAACTACTTCTACTCTGCATGCCCAAAGTCCATCACAGGCACCTTGGGCACACGCTTTTAAGCCACAGTGAGCAACAACACAGGTTATTAGAACAGACTCAAGTAGTTTGTGCTAGATACTGATCTGCCAGAGAAAACCCCCGCTGCTTGTGAGGGTCCCCAAGTACTCAGGGGGTGAATACAAAGACCTGTCACTAACACTGCTGAGAGTTGCAGTGACCCTCCCAGGGCAGGTTTAGGTGGGATATTAGGAAAAGTTCTTTCCCCAGAAGGTGTCTGGGCACTGGAACAGCTTCCAGGGCAGGAGTCGCAGTTCCAAACCTGACAGAGCTCAAGGAGCATTTGGACAACACTCCGAGGCACACGGTGTGACCCTGAGGGATGTCCCGCTCAGAGCCAAGAGTTGGACTCGACGATCCTCGTGGATATTCTATCTATCCTCTGAACATGCCGTGATTCCGTGACTCTCTCCGCACCACTCCCCACGCCCCA